AATCCCCGAAAAGCTTTCTTCCATGAGAAAACGCTATTTCGGGGATTGCTTTTCAACATTGCTACTACCACCACTAGAACAACTACTGCTAGTAGGAAAACGACCACTACTATCACTACTTGAAAAAGCAATCCCCGAAAAGCTACCTTCCACCAGAAAACGCTATTTCGGGGATTGCTTTTGCACACTGCCACTACCACAACTAGAAGTACTACTCCTAGTAGTATTATATCTCAGCAAGGGCCACCTTATTTCCATCCTGCTACCAAACCTAACCTAATCCGCAATCCGCGCAAACCATCTAATCCGTAAACATACCTAATCCGTAATCCGGTGGGGGATTAGGATTGGTTATGAACAGCCCAGTTTGAGAAAGGCAACCACAATTCCTACCAAAAGAAAGTCTTTGACTTTCCACCAGGACCCCAACCTTCGACACGGGGCAAAATCCAATCACTCTTGAACGAGTCCTGCCTCCCCAACTCCCCTCCTCAAAACCCTTCCGGAGCCCTGGTCCTGCACATGTCTACACCGTCCTCGCGTGCCTTCTTGGAAATGCGTATACCTAGATCTTCCAACTATGCTCAAACTTCTGCCTTTTGGCTGTTGGTCGCTGTTTCTACGGATGAAAAGGCAGAAATTGGGGCAGAGTTGGAAGATCCAGGTATAGGTGTTTTGTCCATTTCACCCCTTGCGGCACTTGCGGGACGACCGATTCACTGACCCCCGGCGCCTGATCGTAGCCCAAGTTCATGCCACGCGCCTTGGGGTCGAGAAAGCCACCGGTGCCTGCGCAGCGGCGCGAAGCAGCCGTGGCGGAGGTTGGGCTGGGGAGATTGGGGGTCCCAGGGGTTCTTCCTTCCAAAGCGACGTTTCTAAGGAGAACCCCAATCAACCACCAGATATGTAGAAGTAGAGACCTTCTAATCAGAACCAGGAAGATTTTGTGGGTCACCAAGCGTCACAGCATTGCAGCCGTGGTCGTCGAAACATCCGACGGACGATAGACTCTCAGAACTGTCCACGGTCGGATTTGGACCTCGCATGGGTCCGACTGGTCCGGAACCACCGTTTCTCCCCATGTTTGGCATCGTCCAGTGCATTCCAGTGCCACGCTCTTTCTTTTGGGTGGCTTTGTTACTGAGCGGTCGCCACACTCCGCAAGCCCATCCCAACTGGCAAGTGCTCAACAGCAACTTCCCGCAGCTGATCCCTTCCATTCCCTCCCATTTCCTGCCGCAAAGTGTGCTTCACAGCCCGGAAAAACCTGGCTGTACCACCAAATGGTTGAAATAAAAAAGCATGCTGAACTCGCTGCCAGGCTCGGTAGGAGGGCACACTGAACTCGCCGCCCCAGGTGAAGCCCGGCTTGAAGGAGCTACCCTCGCCCTTGGCCACCAGCTCCTTCACCGTGAAGAGGAAGGGGACATACTCGCCTCGAGGCGGTTCTCAGAGCGAGTCGTTGTCTCGAGCTGACGGGCCCAACGGTGCCCCAAAACGAGTTCAGATCTGATCCTCCTTTTAGTGAGAACGCAGGTCTCCGAATTGTCCCAAGCAATCCTCTCAGGTTGAGTCTGAGATGAGATGACCATTTGAAATCTTTAAACCACGCGTGATAACTAACCTTCGCTTTACACACCCATGGCCTGCTAGAAACCGTCTTCCAGCAAGCCGGACTCGACCATTTCTCCTGTGATTCGACCCATTCCTGTGATTCGACCTGAGGAGAAGAGACCGAGTTGGGCTTCCCAGGTTGTTGAAGGACTAGAATCATTTTCCCACCACCTTTCAACTGTCCAAAGCTATAAGACATTATAAGACTCTCTGTCTCTCTCTATGTATATATATATATAAATATAGGATCCGTGCAGCTCTGCCCCTGGAATCTGCCTCGTGATTCGTGAGGTGATCCCCAAAGAAACCCTACCGTTGACACTTGGCCCCTTGAACGCCCGGCGGAACTTGGCCTCCGGCACTTCCCCCCCCCCATCGCCCGGGGCCCCTCGCCCCGCACGGAACCCGCACATTCCTGCGCCGCGCGGCCGTCGGGCAGCTTCACGGTGGTGGCGGCAAAGTCCATGCCGTCCTGCTCCTGGCGCCAACGGAAGAGGGGGTGAATGACCCAAGCCACCGGTTCATGACCTCTTTGGTGGTGCGGTAGTGCACAGCCACTTTCTGCCCTACACCACCACAAGAACCTAGAATTCCAACAAACCCCCTGTTCACATGCATCCCTCACAATGGTGAAGCACAAGAGCCCCCACAGAAAACACCCCACGGATGTGCACTGGCTATGACAAGGATCTCAAAAAGATCGGTGGTGGTGAGCATCCCGAAACGGACCATGACATCACTCCAGCTGGTGCGCTGGAGTCAACCTGACTGGGGCTCAGAAAGTCGACATCCCACAACCTCTTGCGTTGTCGACTGCGTTGCCCAACGGCGCTTCTTTCAATTTCGGATGATGCACTGAGCTCCTTGAAGGTGATGGGGTTGGGGTCCAAAGTCCCCTCGACGAACGCCAAGGTGTAGGTCTGACCTCACATTCTGGAAGACGGCGCACATCAAATTGTTGGGATTAAAACTCCACATTGCGGGAGCTTTTTTGGGGGCAGTGCCCCAAAAAAAAGCAGAATACTGTTGGTGTTTTGTCCGCAACATGAACTGGACGTGTCCTAAAAAGCGTTTTAGAAGCAGAAGGAGAAGCACGAGGAAAAGAAGAAGGAGAAGGGCAGGGAGAGGGAGAGGGAGGGGAAAGAAAACAACATGAGAATCAAAACGGGAAGGAGCAGAGAGGAAACATTGCATCTGCGCTGCACTGTTTCTTGGGTCGCTTGTCTTTGGATCGACTTCCTGGTCCCAGCGGGTTTGCTGTGGGAGCTAGAGTAGGGAGCAAAACGGAGCGAGGAGAGAGGAGGGCACGCATGGCATTGAGCTGTTTACTTGTTGACCTGTTTATAGATGTGTTGTTCATCATGTCTGTCATGTCTACCATAGGTTTGCAAATCAGGACATGTATAATATAATACATATGACTCATGACTCATATGACAACCAAACATGATCATTTACATCATTTACTTTTAATGTATTGCTGGCTTATCGTCTGTATTTTTGCAATTGTGTACGGGCTAAACTGTCCAATGAAGCCACATCACATTACGGTGTGACGCTTCCCCACCGACCCTCAAAAAAGGTGCCTGAGGTTACGTTGCCCACGGCAAGTCTGAACGTTCAACAGGGGGCTCGCTCGGAAATTTGGAAAGTTGGGCGATGTGCATGGGGAGGGCGCATTACCAGGTGCTTTAAAAGGATCCTTGAGGTGTGTACTGAAATGTGGTCCAAAGCATAGAAGCCGGAGATAGCCAAAGGCCGAAGCAACCAAAAGCCAGGAAAAGCCACAAGAAGCCATCAAAGCCAAAAGATCCAAAAGCCGCCCAACGCCGAACAGCTTTTGAAGCCAGTACAGGGCCTACGACGCTGGCCACGCACAGCATGAAGTTCTGTGGTGTGGGATGCTTACGTTGCCTTTCAGTTGTGCAGGTCAACCCCTCTCACGTTTCGTTCGTCACCGCCATCACCGTAGACCATCGGACCCACTGGCACTTGGGAGGGTGGAAGGAGCCACTGGGTTCGGCTTGGCACACCTTGTTGGCCTCCAACTCTGACCTTTCTCGACCTTCAGGCTCTCCTCTTAAGAGGCCTCTGGTGGGATGTGTACTGCGCAGGCCGGGAGGCTCTTTCATTCTTGGAATGGTCTATCATGGTCTGCCACAGATTTCGGGTGTCTATTGAAGGGAATACATACAGTAGTCAGGGGGGTCTATAAACGATCCTTTCCGTGGTGCTTGCACTTTTGGCTAGAACTTGTAGCCCCCTTTCATTTGGAAGCAACCTCATCCAGTTCCTAAAAACCAGTGATGTACTGTACCCTTCCCGGTCTGACTTTCCGCCCGCAGACGGGTCGTCAACTTGGTGGTGGCGAACTCCTTGCCGTTGTCGGTGTCGATCTCCACCGCGAAGCTCTTGGGCTCGAAGCAGGCCTCGAAGCTGGGACTCTTTGGGCTCTGAGTTCACCAGGCTCCAAGGAGTTCACCACGGAATAGCTCGGGGGGGCCCGGATGGATGCTTCACCCCGAACGGCCGGTCGTTTTCTCTACTGACTCGCGAACGAGAAACGAGAAAAGGACAGCTCGGGGTCACTCACGATCCCATGAACCCAAAGGTGTGGGACGTCCAAAACGATCCAATGATCCCTTTCACTTCGGACCCTGAGTCTTTGAGTCTTTGAGTCTTGAGGGGGGCTGAAAGGTCTAATGAATGGTCTTGAGTCTTTACCCAAGAACCATCGCTGGATTTGAGGGGGGCTGAAAGGGTGGCCGAACGTGGTACCTGACGGTCCGCACACAGCAGCCATCGACAGGGAGGACTCGAAACCGTTTCGCTGCGAAGCAGCACCGTCGAAGCACGTCCATCCCGATGCAGTTCCAGGTCAGGGTGCCGAACTGGGAGGATAAGGGGGAACTAAAACCATTCCTTTGGAACTGCTGCTGGGTGCATCTAGCAAAGCTCCTCCATCTTCCCCCCTCCCATTCTTTCATACCGGACACATGCATAATTTAGACTCTTGATTCATGAAAGACCTCTTCATAGAAGAGGGGGCTCATCAATCAAGAGTCTACATTGACACTTACACCCCCAGCCACCTCCCAGCCACCACCCGGATCCTGTGAATTCCTCCAACCCTATGGCCCTGGCTGTCTCACGCCCGAGGCACGTTGATCAGCTTGGAGCCTGCCTTTACGGGCACCTCTGAGCCGTTGGACTCCACCGTCGGGCAGCGGTTCGCCAGGCCGGAGCCACGCACCTTCCGAAGGGTGGTCCGGCAGCGCAGGAGGTCAGGGAGGGAGGGGGTTTGGGTGGGTTGGGTGGGTTTTGGGGGGGCCCGGTTCGTCTCTTCTGCCCAGAACCTGGCTGGTGACAGGTCTCAAGCTGGTGACAGGTCTTGAAGTGGGAATGATGGTTCGGGCCTTTGAGACGGAAGAAGGCAAGGAAAGGTATCTATTTATTACCATTATTATTCTTATTATTGTTATTACTGGTACCAGATATTAGATAGATAGATAGATAGATAGATAGATAAGATATGATATGATATGATAAGATAAGATAAGATAAGATAAGATAAGAAAGAAAGAAAGAAAGAAAGACAGAAAGAAAGAAAGAAAGATAGATAGATAGATAGATGTGTGTGTGTGCTATATGCACTACAAAAAATGCATCAACAAAATCCAAGCACCCCATCCAGGCATCATGATCGGCCTCCCAAGCCCTGATCGGCATCGAGATTCACATGTTGTGTTTTCTCTTTGTTTTTCCCATCCGGAAGTGATGGACGACCCACTTGCTATCCATCCCTCACGACCTTAGATAGGCCCACCTGATTATAGGTGAGCTGGCTGAACTGCTCGGCGGTGATCGCCTGGGCGGGCTGCGCCGCCACCAGGCCAAACAGCACACCTCGGCGGTGTGGAGTCGCGGCGGTGTGCCACCATCTGAAAGTACAGCCGGGCCTAGAAGAGAGGGTATGTCAATGACTGACTGGTGCGACTCGCAGGGAATGAGGGAATGGATCCAATAGAATCTCTATTGGGGGCTCATTCCCCTATTCCCTACTAAGCACCAGTCAGATGATGGGGCTCCAAGGTGTTGTGTCATTTTGGGGGAGACCCATGCCATGGGATACAATCGGATGCAGGATGCTTGGATGCTAGGAGCAGGCCGCGTACTACCCCACCTTTTGGGCAAAAGCCAAGGGGGTTCGGACAGTGTCCGACGGTGTCCGTCAGTGTTTGTCATGGGTTCCAGGGTTGTGGATGTAGCATGAGATAGGGATGTTGGGGGTCGGGCTTCCATCTCCTCAGTGTCTCAAGATCACTCAACAACTGCCCCATGGACCGACGCGAACTTGCTACCATCTCGTCAACACGAGACTAGTCACTTAAGTGGCCTACTGAAGGACAAGCCAGTCACCAAAAACATGGATCCCGCTTTCGATCCGGACCAAAAGTGCCCATCCTGAGTCAAGAGCGAGATGCGACAGCCGATTTGAGCTAAGTCACCCAAGGCCGCTCCGAAACTCAAGAGAGGTGCAGCCCAAGAGGTGCTGCTCTCACGGGGAGCATCGAACTGAGCGGCTTCCACATGCTGCCTGGGGCTCGGCGTACGGGGCACCTGCGTGGGCACTCCGCCCAAGAAGCAGCTCCCGAAGGCCGCGATGGCCAGCAGGCCCAGCCCGGCACCAAGACCACGGGCCATGTTGGCGGTTCGCAGGGATCAAAAACCACAAAATATCCACTGGAGCCGCTGCGTGGTCGAAGCGAAGGTCGAGTTCGGCAAACATTAGAAAATGTTTAAGCAAGAACCAGCACATACCTGACTCCTGGATAAATACCAGCTGCAACTCTTGGGGAGGTACCACGTACGATACCATAGTAACTACGGCATCTTGTGCCTCAGCCGCTCATGTCACCCAGTGAGACACACGCAAAGCCGCGTGACTGATCCATAAAGCAAATCATTTCAAGAGAGTGCGCAGGTTCCCTGGCACTGGTTGTGCCGTGGTACACACCGGTCTGGAAACCAAACCAACACATTCTGGAGGAAGCTGAAGTCTGGCCAGTTTCCTGAACACCTATATTCAGCTCAATCTTCTGAATCCAGACCCTCCCACCACGCTCCGTCTCGAGGCCCGGAACCCCAAAGACCACCGGCCCGCACCGGCTGGCCCGGCGCAGCCACGGGCATCGGAGCAGGAAGCACCTGGGCACCAGGACGGTCGGCCATGGGCTCGTCGTGCGAGCTTGGGACTGCCACAGGACTGCAGATCAGTTGGGGATGTGCCAGGGGGTCGGGGCGGCAGTCCTATGGCAGTTCCAAACACGTCGTGTCTGGGTAAGGGGTGGGAATGCTCAGAGCATCTGTGGAACTCTGGCGGGTAGCCCGGGTAGCCCGGACGGTTGCAACTGCACGCGTCGTCGCGAACACGGGACGGAACGGAACGTCGAAGTTCGAGAACGGCTGGTTTGTTGGATGGCCAACACGCGGGTCAACGTGAAGTTCGGAAACCAAAGTGTTATATCAATAAGTTGTTGGGCATCGGGCACTCGAAAGCTGGGGTTTGAAGACTAGCAACGTGCTCTTCACACCCCCATCCCAACTAATGTTCGATCCTGATTAGTAAAGGGGGGTCCCCCCCCCCCCCTCAAACAATTAGGGGTTCCTCTACAATAAACTACCACCAAAACAATTCTGGATTCCTGTGAGGATTCCTTTTGTAATTGATTGTAGTATTCAGCTTCCTTTCTCAGGTGCTTTGTAATTGTTCTCAACAACCCTTTTGCTTTGCAGCCTCAGAACTTCAACTCAAGAGAAGCCCCAAGCTCTCAGCTTCTTCCTCAGCTTCCATGGCTTCCTTCTCAGGAGCTAAGTAAAGGGAGATTGCATGCGCATTTTTTCCAGTGGAAAAAACTTTTCACAATTGAGAACCCAAAAACAAACCTTATTATTGAGGATCTGGTGCCTTCCTGGTCTACTACCTTGAAAATTTGTTTAGGAGCAATGT